AATATTTCAAATTTGGAGGTGCCCCTAGGGCACTATAATTTATTCTTTTTTAAAAGCTTATTTATTGAGAGAGAGAGAGAGAGAGAGAGAGAGAGAGAGAATGAGCAGAGGAGAGGCAAAGAGAGGGAGACAGAAGATCTGAAAGAGGCTCCGTGCTGATTGCAGAAAGCCCAATGCAGGGCTGGAACTCACGAACGGTAACATCATGACCTGAGCCAAAGTCAGTTCAGCTGACTGAGATGCTCTCACATTAATTCTTTAATCCAGTCTCTCTTTCCCTGTTACTCTCTGTTCCCCCCCCCCCCCCACTCTCTCTCTCCACTCCTCCTATTTTCCCCCTTCTCCTTTTAATTTTTTTAGGAAATTTTAATCTCTTTTAGGAAATGGTGTGAGCTGAGATCACACAATGAATTTATGTTTCATAGTTTGATTCTTGCACCTTCCAAAATACCCCCTTTCCTCTTACCATCCCACTTGCTCTTACTACCCCTTCTTGCTGTAAAATAAATAAAAGTAACTGAATGCTTCCAGATTTTTTAAACTTTAAAGCCAAATAAACTGGGTTTTGTGCCTTAAAAAATATCATTCTATGATTTACATAAAATATTTCTGTGGAATTTGAGAAAAATTATTTGTAAGTAAAAATGGAGGAATTTCCCCAAATGTAGATATAATACACAGTAGTAAATTTACCATGATCCTTTTCTGAAATGTAAAATGGTCTATACTTTTTTTCTGTTTATATCCCTAAGATGTTGAAAAGTTCCTTTAAAAAGCACTAGCAGTATATCGTCAGTGACAGAAAATATTTCCATTTCTATAGAGACCTTTGCTGAATCCATCCCTGAGGACACAGTTAAAAGTTTTTCTTTTTTTGAGTAGTTATTGAAGAGAATTGTTTAAATGAAGTTAAGCATAAAAATCTAAATAACTTTTAATCCACCATCATAGAAAAGTTCATTTATTAACTTCTAATAAATTTATTTTACTTTATTCTATAACTTATACTCAAAGGAAGAGCCGAGTTAATGCCCAATTTTATTCGGCTATGACCTCTAAGTTATCAAAAATTATTTTTCACCCATGAGGACTCCTCTGGGTCTACCTTATTATCTTCTTGGTTTTAGAGCTTAGAATTTCAAAAGGATATTACAAGAGAACTATTACTCTTTGTGAAGTTCAAGTTTCTCAACTGAAATTGATAAGGAAACTTCTCATTCTGGTCTCTTGCAACAGGCAATGGATGAGCATCTCTTGAACTGTGCTGTACAGATTCTTCTCGACCTACATTTGTCTCTAGCATCTTCTGTGTTAAAGGATTTCTTTATTACCATAGTGATGTCCACACCACTTCTCTACCTATTAAATCTTCCTAGAAGTGATACTTTAGTGCCAGGATTCCTCTGCCTTTTAAAACACATGGTTACAATTTTCAGACTGAAAGGCAGGATCACACTTTGCAAATCCTAGAATAAACACATCTGTGGAATACACCTGCCAATAAGAATAAAGTGAATATATGTATATATTTGGAAATCTGCCACTGGAGTCAACTAAACGCACACACACACACACACACACACACACACACACGCACAGCCAATACTTTAACCTGTGTGATTTAGGATAAAAACATTTGCTTACTTATACACTAATCTAAGATAGAATATTTAATTACTTTGATTACTTTATTAAAATCTGAAATAAAAGGCTAAACCTTTACAATTTATTTTGAATTTTCTGGAATAGCTGATAGTAACAATCAATGCAAGTCCTACAATTCATTCAGAATATGGATCTATGTTACTGTCTGTAAAAGATTAGTAAATGAAGTTTCAATACTATGTGCAGATATTTCGTGTGGTTTACAATTTCCAATAAAGCAAGATTTTTTTTTTTAACGAATTAATTAAACAGGTTGGTTTGGTAGTGATTTCTCCTGCAAAGAAGGATCAGTAGTGTTTTGAGTCATTCTCATTTAAGCTTCAGAAACACTAAATGACGGAGCTGAAACTAAAACCTGGGTTTATTTGACCTTAAAACCTATGTCCTTTCCCTTACTTGGAAGGTTGAAGAAGGGATCACTTGAGTGAAGAGAATGGTGCTAGCAAAATCTTGGAGACTTGAAACTGTGCTGTGTGCAGGGAGACACACGTAGCACACCGCTGAGGGATTTACTCCTCAGACAGGGATGGGATCACAGGCAGAAACCACACATGCCACGCTAACTAGGGAAAGGCGAATCCATGAGCAGTACAGAGCATAAAGAATTTTAAGCAGGTAGGATACATGGCCATATTTGCCTTTTATATATCAGCAGCCAAAAAGAAGATGCATTTTAGCTTATTGAAATGATTCTAGTATTCATCTAAGATCGTGCAGTAGGTAATGGGTGATGGAATGACCTGGAAGTGAGGATATGAGAAATATTTAGGGGATGAGATGAGAAGGAGCTGGCAATAAATACATTGGTTGTTGAGAAGAACAGTAAAGAAGAGGAAATGAAACAATAATCACTTCCAGGGGTCAGGCTTGGGCAATAGGACACTGGAAATGCCACCCTTGAAGCGAAGGGATTTCCAAGAAGGAGCGATCCTATGGAAGTGCCGAGGCATGGACAATAACGAGGCATTCTCAATTCCGTTGGAGAAATGAGGCTAATTGTGTGGACATGTCCAAGGAGAAGATGGATATGAGCCTGGTGCTTAGGGAAAGTGGGCTCCCATTTTGTAAGCCATAAATAGGGATTGAATTTACGGAGTAGACTGTGGAGTAAGCAGAAATGTGATCACAGGAACAAATTTACTAGGGAGACCAAGGGAGCACTATTAGGAGCAAATTAGACAAGAAAAACCCAGAAAACCAAAGAATGCTGTGTTGTGGAAACATAGTAAAGAATTTGATTTCAGCAAATAGAACTAATAAGACTTATTTTGTGATAAATGTATCTATAAACATATATAAAAAACTATGAATACATATATCCATCATATGTGCTTGTATATGCCTACATATGTTTATAGAGACATTACATAAAACCATACGGTTTTATATTGTGTGCATATATAAAACACACACACACATATATAAAACTAATATATGTGTGCCTATATATTTGTAATAACAGTTCTTTATATATTCATCATATATATGCATATATCCATATAATGAATATATATTGTCACTAGTTATATAGAGTGAAAGATGTTTATTCCACTATAAGTCTTAGTATATCTGTATTTGCTACACTAATACACACACACACACACACATACACACAGACACACACACACATACACACACACTACAGAGAAAGAATTGAGTTGAGTATTTGGCTAAATGTTAACAACCACAAGTAGAATATACAAGAATTCATTTAAGTATGGGAATTTTTTCAGCAGCTTATCTAGGTTATTAGCTCTTATGATTAGCCTTCCCCAAAATTAAAATTTGCTCACAAAAAGTTGTCATGAATTTAAAAAATTAATAAATTATATTCTGTTTTCCAAAGTTATTGTATTTCTCATTTCTACTCAGATAACAGTTCAATATAATAGAATTATTTATACATATGTATTAGCCAGACATTCTAATTATGCTGAGATAAAGAATAATATTAATAAGATCTGCATCATGTATTAAAAGAGCATGCTGCTCGGTGTGAATGGCAGACATATAAATACAACAAATGGTGATATAAGCAATGATAGAAATACATGCAATATCTAGCAGGAACTCAAAGGAGTTTATGAGTTAATACTTCATGTATTCCTGAGTTATTCAAGAATGGATTTAAAGTGGCTCACAATAACACAAAGTAAAAGAAAAAATGGGGGCACCTAGTTGGTTCAGTCAGTAGAGTGTTTGATTTCAGCTCAGGTCATGATCTCATCATTTGTGAGTTTGAGCCCCATGTCAGGCTCTGTGATGGCAGCTAAGAGACTGCTTGGGATTCTGTTTCTTTCTCTCTCTCTCTCTCTCTGTCTGCTCCTCACCCACTAAGGCTCTCTCAAGAATGAGTAACCATTTTATAAAAAGAAAAAATAAATAAAGTGAATTCAGAGAAAAAAATAGATTGGAATAGATAATTTGAAGTCAATAGCAAAGGGATATAAAGAATACATAATTAAGGTCTAGAAAACACGAGAATAGGCCACCAGGTGGCCTGTAGTCTGTCTGGAAGGGAGACAAAAATGAAAAAAAAGTCAATTACACTATTCATATTACCAACAAGGAAAAAGAAAACCAAACTATTCCTGGTGTCGAAACGAAACAGTTTTCTTTACAGGTAATCAAAAACAGAACAATACATCATCCTCCATAATATTTGTCTATAGATTTTGAAATAGATTTTACAGGACTATTTGTTACAGTGTCTCTTAGCGTGGGCTAATGATGACATAATGCCAAATTGCATTTAATAAAAGCAGTTTTACAAGAGAACAAACTATATAGTCCAGCTGTGTGGATTTCTGCTTGTGTGGTTTATTCCGAGGATGAATGTTTTTGTGTTTATAGGAACACATGGACTATATTTCACTCAGGCAGTGCTTTGCAAACTTATGTTGTCCAGCCAAGTACTTGATGAGTATTGAGCAGCGAGTTCAAGGTTATAATCCTTGGTCAGCAGCTATTTTTTCTGCTGATTAAATAATGCAGTGCCTAATTCTCTCTGGGGATGGGACAGGTGCAGAGGAAAGCGAGGCTGAAATTTTAGCTGTGTTAAAAAATTGTGGTAAAATATACATAACATAAAATTTACCTTATTCACCTATTTTAAGTTCGGTGGCAGCAGGTACATTCATGTTGAGGTGCCATCATCACCACCACCCTCCACAGAACTCTTCATCTTGCCGAAGCGATCATCTATAGCTATCAAACAATAGCTACTATCAAACAATAGCTACCCAGCCCCCGCTGTCACCTGCCTAGCCACCATCCTCCTGTGTCAGTGGACTGGACCACTCCAGGTACGTCATATAAGTGGAATCATACAGTTTAAAAACCTGGAACGCTTCACGAATTTGGATGCCTTCTTTGCCCAGGGGCCATGCAAAATTTCCCTGTATGGTTCCTACTTCAGTGTATGTGCTGTGCAAATGAGCTGGTATTTGAGGGGCAACAGGGCCTCCTGCGAAGCTAGTGTGGTCCAATGTTGTTTTCTGTGTTGCAGAAGACTGGGGCGAAGAAGGAAGTTGGAAGACACAAGGTCAAAAAGAAAAGAAGAAGCCGGAGCTGATGGGCTTTTGTAAGAACTGTTTAAGAGCTTGGGCTTATGTGCCGTGAGAAGGGAAGAGGGAATTAAAGTTTGTATTTTAGAAAAATTAATTCCCTGCCCCCCAAGAAAAGGGAAGCCTGGAAGAAGATAAAATTTGAGACCCAAAGACTAGTTTGAAGGCAACAGCAACTATCTAGGTAAGGTTTTGCTTTTTCCTTTTTTAATTTTTTGCAGATGACTAGAGTATTTGAGCAGTTATTACAGAGCTGTGGATAGCAAGGAAGCATGCGTCTGTGCTGTGGGTCTAAGTCCTTAGCCACGCTCTTCCTCTCCAAGCTCAGAAGAAAACTTTTGACATTTTAGAAAATTTTGCATTTTAGCACAGGATCTAGAAAAGCCAGAGTCAAATCTAAGTTCACATTTAAATCCAGGAAAGCACTTCTGGGATGGCATTTCTCCCTACTGACCTGTCTCCTTCCCCTCCTCACATGGTTTGTGTGGCAGGGTAGATGTGCTAATTCATTAGGTGTAGTTTCTCTGGAATCCTATGTGAATCATTTGGTTTAAGACATTTGTTTTATTGGAGCATGTGGATGGCTCAGTGGGTTAGGTGTCTGACTCTTGATTTCGGCTTAGGTCATGATCTCATTGTCCTAGAATCTAGCCTTGCATCAGGCTCCCTGCTGTGTGTGGAGCCTGCTTGGGATTCTCTCTCTCTGACCCTCGTGTGTGTGTGTGTGTGTGTGTGTGTGTGTGTGCACACGCACGCATGCTTTCTCTCTCAAAATAAATAAACTTTTTTAAAAATGTAAGAAATGTGTTTTTATTGAGTTATTGTTAACATATAATATTGTGCAAATTTAAGGTATACAGTGTGTTGATTTGAAATATTTATATTTTGCAATATGGTTACCACTGTCCCAGCATGGTTATCTTTTCTGTGGTAAGAACATTTAAGATGTTGTCTCTTATCAATTTTGACAGCTCGAATGCAGTACTGTTGTCTGTAACCGCCACGCTGTGCATTAAATCTCCAGAACTTAGTCATCTTCTAGTTGCAAGCTGTCTCCAATCCCCTTGCCCCTCAGCCCCTGGTAGCCACGATTCCACTCTGTTTCTATGGGTTTGACTTTTTTAGATTTCACATGTAAGTGGTATCATACACTATTGGTCTGTCTGGCTTATCTCATTAAGTATAATACTCTCAAAGGTCCACTCATATAGTCACAATCATCCCATACTGTCACAGATGGCAAGATTCCCTTCTTTTTTACTGATGAATAGTATTCCACTGTGTGTATAGTATATTGTTACATAGTAATTATATTATATATGATAAATATATAATATATGATATATAACAATATATATGATAATATGTAATAAAGAAGTGTTCCAAAACACCTCAAAAGTGAAAGACAATGATGAAATACCTAAGAATTCCAATTAAGTCATAATTAAACCTCCCAGGCCCCACTACTATTTCTCCCTGGTCCTAAATGTCTTTCTCTTCCCTCTTCTCTGTTCCATCTAACCTGTCTCCTTTTGAGTCTTAATCAGGAAAGCTTGGACCACGGTAGTCCCTGTGTTTTTTCCATGATATCATCAAACACACTTATTTTTAAAAACACAGATCTGAAGCACCTGGGAGACTCAGTCTGTTAAGCGTCTGACTTCGGCTCAGGTCATCAGCTCGGGTCATGATCTCACAGGTCATGATCTTACAGCTCGTGAGTTCAAGCCCTGTGTCGAGCTCTGTGCTGACAGCTTGGAACCTGGAGCCTGCTTCTGATTCTGTGTCTCCCTCTCTCTCTGTTCCTCCCCACTCACACTCTGTGTGTGTGTTTCTCTCTAATAAATAAACATTAAAAATTTTTAAAAAAACACAGATCTGATCTTGTGGCCAAACTCTTTCACAATGATTTTGCAATGAGGTGGTTTATGAAGTTTAAGTGGATGCCTAAGAACACGATCTCTGAGCACTATGCCGGAACCAGAGCTCAGGTCTTCTGCTTTTTTCCCCCCAAGTTCATGTACTTTGCCCTACCGTCTTCCTCATGCACATATTGCAGATTCTAATAAAATTATTTGCCCCCCCCCCTCAGTAGAGTAAAGCTTGAACAGAATCTCAGGACTGTATTCACAGACAGAAAGACTTTCACAAAGCACATAAAACTTGCTCTTCTCGGCTGACAAAATTCAGTGTTACCGAACCAGTGCTCTGAAAGCAGAAGTTGTCAACCTTTAAAATAATTTCCCTCTCTTGGATTGTTTGTGTGTTTCACTCCCTCTTAAATATACACCAGGGAGTATTTTTACTTTGTTTTGTTTCAAAATTGTCATAGTTTGAAATGATGATCAAATATATTAAAGGAAAATATTCCTATTAAGATTAGCTCTATTTATATTTTCCTTACACTATTTAAATTTATAACTAGAGAAGAAATTCTTTTTCTGCTCTTCAGTCCCATTCTTATTTGATTTTCATAAGAAATTCCCAAATTCTACACTGATAAATTAACGATTTAAAGCAATGCATTTGAGTAACTGCTAAAACATTAAAAATGATCATAAGAAAGTCATGGAATAAGTAAATAATCATGCTTTTAAAATTAGCAAGACCTAAAAGATATTCTGTTATATAGTTTATCAAATAAGAATTATTAGACTCAGTGCATATATAATTAGGATATCATAAGCCAAATATAACTGAATTGTACAATTACAACTTTTAATCTATTTTCAGGTTTTTGCTGATTTTGAAATATATTAAATACATGAAAAATTAAAAGTGAAATTTCCTTATAGAAACTTAAAATAAACACAATTTTGTAAAATTCGATCTTGGCATACATGAACAGTTATGTTTTTTAATATCTATTTTTATTTTCCTATTTTTCTATGAAAATATCAACATTAAAGAACAACACAAACTGTTCAAACTTGTTTCTTAAATTAAATGGTGAGGCATATTCATAGTGAATAACATGTGATTAAATTTTGAGTTCTATAAATATTTGCTCACTAATGTCAAAATATGTTCAGACATGGATATACTATAATTCACTTTATTTACTGTTAATTTCATAGTAAAATGATCAAAACATTGTCATGAAAATCTTCGTTACTATTTTAAAACTCTAACAGCAAGAAATAAAAACCTGCCATTGATGTTGACCTCTTCCATTATTTGAAAATACTGAATTAAATCCCGCACACATGGTGAAGTGTTACTGCTTCTTTTTAGGATAGTTGTTCAAAGTAAAATAACCAGGCAGCCTCATCTTAGGTGAGACTGTTTCGGTTTGGAAGTAAACAAAGCTCTCTCTCGATGAGCAAGGTTCATTTCATATTTGTGTAATACCCTGGAAGAAATTAGGTTTCAATAAAGTCCATTTTTGTCACTGCGTGTAGCAATGAATATCACACCCAGCAGGGTACAGTGGCACCTGGCTGTCCAGACCCCAGAGGAGCACAAACCATCTGGGGGTAATTACAACAAGGTATTCTTTAAGGACCAGATGGGACCAAGGAACAGAAGCCCTCCCCCTCCCTGTCATTTACAACATAATTCCTTTCAATGATATACTTAATCCTCCCACCAGCTATGCTTTTCAGCTTGCTGTTGTCACTGTTCCTTTATGTTAATTCAGTTGCAAGACCGAGAAAAAGAGGGGGAGAGAGTGAGAGAGTGCAAGAAAAAAAAAGGGAGAGGGGGAGAGAGAGCCGCCGTGCCTCTAGGGACCAAAAGAAATTATTCATCCCTAAATTGTTTCCACCACAGCAAGTACAGTAACAAATTTTTTCTAAAAAGAGGGCTGAAATTATCCTAAAGAAGGTCAACGCGACAGCCCTGTGTGGCACCAGCTGAGGTTTACTCAGCCACCTGTTAGCTAGAAAGCTCTCTGCGCACGCTTATGATGCATTTAACCAGTTTAAAGGGTCTCTATTGACAGGCCAGCCACCTCCATTCAGCCGGCCTGAGCCATAGACCTGCTTTGTGGTCATATGCGGCACACAAGCTTTAATTCAATTACGCTGTAAGCCTATCCAATCTGCATCAGTGCCCTTTCACTTTTGTGCCGTTTGTCTTGTATGTTGTAAAGAATTTTATTTTGAAGAGGGAAAGGCACCCTACAACCCAGTTGTCTTTATTTTTCATTTAGGGTTAGTGCCGCAGGTGCGCCGCCACCTTTCAACTCGCGAAGTGTATTCATCTTTAAGTGATATTTTGGGTGGAAGCATTATTTATTGTTTGGTGACAATGCTTTTCTGGTGTTGCTGAGTTTTATTTTTTTTTAATTAGGTGTATGTTCAAACTCTCCACCGGACCAGCCAAAAGCCTCCAAACTTGAGAATTGAAGATTCAAAAGAAGGAAAACAGAAGGAAAAGCATAAATGATAGATGAAAATGACCATTTTTTAATTTAAAAAGAAATATATTTCTTGGAATGAGCAAATGTTAAATTTCAAATTTTTGATTTTCCTAAAGTGTTTGACATACTGAATATATTGATTTATATGAATGAGACTCAGTGAAGCTACATGCTTGAAAAAATTTTAAGTTCCAGATGAAAATATTAAATATATTAAGTCTGTTCATTTGTTTTGTATTCTGCTGCTTCCAAATTTCCTTGGCCTTGGAGCAGCGCATATCTTTGTCAAATACTTGACATTTTCATACTGATTTATGGACAATGAAAACAGATTTCTCAATATCAGGGACTCTGATGTTTTCAAAATCATATTTTTCTTAAATGGAAAGTTTGTCTCTTTTAAGCATGTTTTCCACTGCTTTCTCATAACCAACTAAATCTTACCCCTGGGTTCCGTGTCCAAATGAAGTGTATGGACATTTCAAAACAACGTTTCCTCAAATATTAAATG